GCCAAGATTAGAAACGTTCACAAAAGTAAAATCTAGGCCGATGAGCCGAGCTACATATCTTGAAATGTAAATTGACTGGAAATGTAAAAAAACAACAGTAAAACTCTAGCAAGATTCAGGCCATAATGACCGATATAATGCTAGAAGAGTCCACTGAGATCATTGATATCATACTGGACCTAAAACAAAGCATATGCCTCAGAGAGAAAATCATGATAGTTGGAATTATACGTTAACCAAATCATACCACAGAATGGCAAGGCTGTAAAAAAATTTAAATCTTAGGGATCGTAGGCAATGTTTGCTTCAACAGAAGGCTTTGATATTGTAGTTGAAGGGCTAAGGTTTTGCTGAAAAGCAATTGGGTATATGCTGAAAATCAGGTAGGTTGATTGAAGATTCACTTAAGATTTTGTATAACCATAAAGATTGATTTTGACGAAGGTCCTGAATTTGAAGGTAAAATAATTATAATAATAATTCCTGGTTGGTGGCCATCAACTGGGTCTTATGGCGTTTCAAACGATCATTGCATTGACAAAACACTATCATGCAATGGATCTAAAATGGTATGTCACTGCAATGTCTGGTATTAAACTTCTTATTTAGCACTGGTTATCGGCAATGGTTTTCATGCATTATTTTTCTCTTAATTTTCTTTTGTTTTATTCAATTCAAAACTTCAGAAATGTGCATGAGGGAGAAAATTTGTGTGTAACAATCATATCTCAATGGTTAAATGTCCCACGATGCATTGATGACCAAACTCTTACAAATAAAAGATAGGTGTTGAGAGTACTCTTCACATCGGAAATGAATAGTTTAAAGATTCTGCAGCCACTTTGTTTAGTGTCAATTGGTGTTCGGTCGGATTGGTGCTCATAGCTTAATTTTTCTGAAGTATCGTGTCACATATATAGGTGAATTTCACTTGAAGAATAGATCAGAAATGTTATTAACAAATGTGGTACAAATTGTCTTAATGTGTAGTTGGAGACTGTGTTTTGATCAAATATCATCTACTCAAGAAGGAATGTTGAATAGTGTTATTTTGGAGAGCGACTCGCTTTAGATCATTAGGCGCTGAAGGATATCGTCACTAATACATTTCCTATTGGACATATTATTGAGGATTCTAAAGCTTTGCTCCTAATTAATCAGGATCATTGAGGCTTCGTATAGTCACATCCAACGTCAAGCCAATGGAGTAGCCCGTCGCCTAGTCCGCTATTCACTTAGTGCTGTTAGGTTAGATACCCCTCTTGGCTTTATCGCGGATTTACTAGAGGATGATCATTCATTGTGATTAGACCGACTCTTTTGTTCTTCTGTCATCTATTCCCCTTTTTGCAATTATGAAATATAATGCTCGTTTTCATCAAAAATAAAAGAACAGGGAATTTGAACTGTAAATGAATGTGTGAATGAATGTGAAATTTCAAAGTCCTTTTCGCAAGTCGTATATATCCCATTATTACTTTCTATTTGAAGTAAAATCTTATCTGTAGAGGAATGGAATATTCATGAACTGGCATATGAGACTGAGAACCCAAGCATGCTTTATTAATTACGTAAAGTAATCCATTTAAGCACATTTTGTTTGGTCGACATATTGATCGCATTCTTTTTTTGGTCCACGCATTTTAGCACATTGGAAACATAGGATTCTATATATACGCCACCATACCCTAATCTAACGTGGAGTAAAACACCTACAAGCTGTGAGACTGAGACCCCAACGTGATGCTGGGTAGCCTCAAATTCTGGTTCTACCTTCTGCTCATTTTGCTTTCTTTTTCAGGTTCTGATCAAGCTCGTTCTCCAGTGCCATTTTCAGACAGAAGTAACAAACGAGCTATGATGGAGAGTGCCAAACAAGTGCTGAAGGCTAGCAGTGAAACTCAAGTCGGAAAACCTTTCGAGTCCAAAAGGCCGAGTCCGGGAGGACCTGATCCGCAACATCATTAGTATATCCCGAAATGAAAATTAACATTCGAGCTGCTTTGGACTTTCATAAGAACGAGCGCGAAATCCGCATGTGTCGGTTTTACATTTTGTGTATGAGAATTCAACGCAATGCGTCGTGTGAATGATTCTTATAGTCTTTATGATTCACTAAATTGGTGCAAATCTATATACATTTATATCTTTCGAACTTGTAATAAATTTGCCCAATTAATAATTAGATGCAACCTTCCAGTGATGATAATAAAAATAAGATATACCTTTATTTTGTGAAAATTAAAGTCCTACATTAATATGGATATTGCAAGCATGCATGCCGGGATATATACGCTTCTTGGTTTTCAACCTTCCGTACGTAAGACGGTGTGATGTTCTCATGGACTTTTTTTTGGCACAACGTATGTTACAAAATAAGGAATTAACTTGTCTCCTTGATAGTTGAGAAAGAGTTCTTCCTCAATTCACTAAGTGGCTGATTCACAGAATTTTATGCTTATAATCGAAATTGTTTATATTATAAATCACTATGTAAAGATCATTTCTGCAAAAAGTCAATAAAATATGAGATCATTTAATCATCAAACTGTATAAAACAAATGAACAGAATTGATCAAAGCATTACCAACCATCTATCTATTTGCTTCAATTGCTTGACTAAACGATCCTAGTTTTATTTTATTTTTTACAGAAATGATCTTTACAGAATGACTTATAATATGAACAATTCTGATCATAAGCACAAAATTTTGTAAATAGGCCACAAAATATTTTAAAAAGAACTCCTCCTTAACCTTTTCTTTTTAACAAACGATAGTATTTACACTAAGGGGATATGGGAATAGGCGAAGCCTTATAATGGACTTACCAGAATAATATGGTTCAACTCCATTTTAACCTCAACGTGTCGGATGATGCGTTCATCGACATTTAAGGAGGCGAGATATTCCCTTTTACACCAAGTTGTGGCCAAATACTGGCCTGAGAACGGCCTGAGGTTGTCAGCCCGAAACTGGGCTTTTGGTTTCTTGCGAAATTGAGGCAGATTCGAGTCTCCCATGCTCGAATCCGAACCTTAGGATGAAGGGGAAGTGATCCATGGTCCAAGTCTCGTCCAATCTGATGAGGAATTGACCGATTTTTATCGGAAAACCGCGAGGTGGTGGTGCAGTCCATCTATGTTGTTGTACAGAGAAGATGAGAGGTTAGAGATACTGGGGAGTTGAGCGTTGAGAGAGAAAATAAGAGAGAGTGACACGGTTGTGATAGTGGTCTAGTGATGGCCGTTCTTTGGGGCTCGGCTTCTCTGTGAACACAGAGAAGAAAAGATGGTGAGTGTTGGGAGAGAAGGGAGAGTTTGAGGGAGAAAGAGAGAGATTGTGATGAGGCCCACAAATTTTTTTTTTTTTTATAATTAAATATTAATTGTTAAATAAATAACAACTAATTTTTTATTCTAATTAGAAAAAAAGTAGGTTGTTCTTATGCCACTTCAGCATTTAACAGAAAAATTAACCGAAATGTTGCCAGAGGTTTGACATTGCAACAAATTCATACAATGAGGTATGACATTACAATGTTCAAAACATGAGGTATGAGATTGTTATCCGACTGATAGTTAAGGTAGTTTTTTTGTAATTTACCCTAAACATTAATTTGATAATATAAGTATTTGACAAAATTGCTAATCCAAGGAACATAGTTATGGATATGCTTCATTAATCATGATAGGGACTGTTTGACACTTGAAAGTTGGTTTTTAAGGATTAGGAAAAGGATGTCAATTGCAAATTTAAATGATGCTTTCTCTTTTTGCACGTCTCTATTTACTTATGTCAATTGATTTATTCAGTCTTAAGTATAAAAATAAATAAAAGTGTGCCCGGCAAGAGAAAAAAAAAAAAAAGTCTATGAAAATCACTTCTCATATAATAAGGTATCGCATTGTTAACTATTTGTTCAATCTCGTATTTGAGGATGGTTATTATGTGTGAAAGATTATAAGCAAGCTAAATGAAAAACAGTGTAAAAGTGCTTGAAAAAGCCTTGTATATCGGAATTGGATTCCATCCGGATCCACTTTTTGGGGATCCTAGGGATCCCATATCTTCGTCATTCATCATGTATCGTGCAGTCATAAATTATTTGACTTTTTTTTATCTAAAATTAAACACAAATAGTATCTGATGAAAACTGACCGCACGATTTACAATAAACGGTTAGGATGTGAGGATCCCTAAGATCCCCACAAAGTGGATCCAGAGAGCATCCTCTTTCTTATATATCTATTTATTATATTGATGACAACCTTTTAATTAATGTGTGTATCACTCACATATGTGGGGTTTAGGCTTTTGCAGAAGATCGGTGAACCAATAAATTTTGTACAAATAGACGCAATGTTACCTAATTAATTAGAAATATTTTTACTGATCACTCTCAAGTGATGGTGATATTGATGTTCACTATCTTATTTATTACCATTAGATGAATTTAAATTTCGGAATCTGTATAGTGGATAAATATAAATCTCAAAATTTAAACTCATTCAATGATGATAAATAGAGTGGTAAGTATTATCATCACTTAGTGGTGAACAAAACTGTGAGGCAAAACTGTGAGACTAAGTCATTTCAAAATATATTGGTAATAAATTATTAAAGTATTTAATTAGTTATGTTTTTATTTATTTATATATCTTATCACTTATCACTAACTGAACCTCTTCAATTATATTATATGCTACCATTACATCCGTTAGATTTTATCTAATTTGAACGTATGCACCACTGCTGTAAGTGATGGATTTCTCCTGTAGATAGGACCTTCCACTTTAACTTACTGCATGCTGAGTTTCAACACAGCTTTGCCTTAATCTAGCTTAAAATATTAATATTTTGTGTGATAAAAGAATGTATGGACCAATGCATACTAGAACGTCTTTATATTTATTGGCAGAGTCTTTTAAAAAAGATGTTTGGAGGTCAAATAATAAGATAGAAAGTAGAAACCCTTTTCATTATTTTTGGCTTGATATTTGTAAATAAATGGGTTGTTGAACATGACATGGTTGGTGAGCTGAATAGAAGTGGACTGGACGGCTGCTTTTTCAAAACCGCCCACAAGTGGACTGAAAATGACTATTTTAAAGTATCAGTAACAATCATTTTATACAATCTAAAATAAGGCTGGTTTGGTATAGGATTCCAAATCGAAAATGGAATCCCAAATCCCAAACCTATTTTTTTTCGAGACAGAGTTTTCAAAATCAAAACCGAACTGAAATGAACGTATTCTCGAAATCTTTCGTTATGGTTCGGGATTCATCGACCTCCCACCTTCCCTGCCAGCCCACACGACCACACCTCATCTTAGATTCGTCAACCTTCCCACCCCCATCTCCATCCCTCTCATTCCTAGGCTTATCTTTGCTGTCTTCGGAAGACGGAGGGCCTTGCGAAGTGCATCGAACAAAATCAGGTATCGACCATTATCGATGTGTGAGCTTTTTCATGTCTTGCCAAACAAAATCGCCATTAGAGGGCTACTCTACTTTGCAGGCTTGAGCGATGGATCTGATGTCTTGGAAGAACGATTGGGTTCCTCAGACGAATGCTGCAATGGGAATGGTGTTTTGGGAAGAGCAAGCTACGGGTGTGGCTGCTTTTAAAGATTGAGAAAGCATTTGGAGGCCTTGAGCTTGCTTCTGCATTTGAGGGACTCGGTGGAGGGAGAGAGAGAGAGAGTGTGGCTATCTGTGGGATGAGAGTGCGAGTTATCAAGAAATAAAATAAAGAACAAAGGTTAGTGAAGACGGCAATGAGTCATGAGATAAAGAAAGAATAAAAAAAGGAAAAGGCATTGAAGAAAGGTTATTGGGCAAAGGAATGGTTGATCAAAGTTATCGGGCAGAGGAATGGTTGATTAAATAATATATATATATATGTATATATGTATATATCGGTTTGGATTTCCAAAGGTTATTGGGCAGAGGAATGGTTAATTAAATAATATATATGTATATATATATATATATCTATATATATATATATATATCAGTTTGGGATTCTCGAACAAAGAAAAATATGAGACTGATTCCCGTATCAAACGGTTCGGGATTAGTTTGGAATTGGTACCAAGATTTTTGGGATTTTCGGTTCGGGATTTTTTTGGTTTAGGATCGGGATTTTTTATGGTTCGGGATTAATAAGAAGAAATTAAGCTGCTGTTCTGTGTTTAAGAGTGCTTAATGGAATCATACATACCAGATCAATTGTTATCAAACTTATCTTCACGTTTCTCTCTTATGAACAAGGTAACACAATGTAATGTTACAGATTTGCAGACCCTCGCCCCTCGCAGGTAGCGTCGTGAGGTTTAGCAACAAAAGATTAGCTATACTCTGACAACATCCTATTCAGGAAGCAGTGGTAATCTGTCCACAATGGGGAGTGAACCATTCGTGCTTCCGTTGGTACCAAGAAAGTCATCAAGTACATCATTGGCATCGATTCCTTCGCTAGCAAGCCTAGCATGATTCTCTTCTGCCACTGACTCACTGTAGTATGAAATGGAAGGATACGGAGACACATCCGGTTCTTTACTAATTCTTTTTGCTTCTAGTTGGTACTTGCGAATAAGGTCCATCTGAGAAGACATAATGTGGGATGGCCTCGGAAAAGTTCCACTGGTTCCCCTTTTGGAATTACAACCTGCTCAATGGCTATTCTTGCCTCCTGTAAGATGGATAACAATTTTATCGAACAGTATTGCATGCAAAATTATTGAACTAGACTTTGATTAGACTTAATGTTCCACAGAGATTACTACTGATTAATCAAAATCACCTCTAAAGCATCAATCTTCTCAGATGACTTCAAATTCTCTACAGATCCATAATCCCTTAGCCCATCTTTATGATCACTTATTAATGCCCGAACTGCCTTTCTAATTTCCATCAACGAGTTTGACTGGAAGAAGGAGGAGAAATCAATGGTAGAACCATATCAATGAAAAGTTTTTGGTAAAACAAAGAAAGTATAATTTTGATTACCTTAGTCACAAAAACGGGCGCTTCATAAGATTTAGCAACAGCTTGAAGCGGCGGATTCTTCTTGAGCTTCGATTGCAAGGCAAGTAGTGCATCTGCCCGCCTGATATCATCTGTTAACTGGGCAGCAGCTTCATCCATCTTCAACTGTTTAATCACTTGTATCACGCTGGCTTCTAGTATCTACATTAACTGCTCATATTGTAAGTATTGTACTTGAAAATTGCTCGAGTAATCGCACTTGTCCTCTACTTTTAATTTATGTTCACTGTCATCTACTGGCCTGAACAATACTGCAATTTCAGTCAACGATGATAGCCCTGTTGGAAAATTCACACAGTTAACTGATAACACTAGTCACATAAGAGAGAAAAGATCAACGCATGTTTACCTGAGGAAGACATTGTTAATGGTTGCTTCAGAAAACTCTTCTACTCACTGAAAGCCTTTATGTTCTTATGGTGATAGAACCCTAATCTCAGAACGTGTTTTTGTGAGTATGGAATTTCTGCATTTATAGAGGCATGGCAGCCAACTTCCATCTATCATGGAAGTGTGGTTATTAACCCGTTGCCCCAATTCCCAATAGACGTGGAGTGATGGAATATCAGTTGAACAAAGAAGTTATTTCCCAATATTTAGAATGTGTTTCCACAATAATAGGACATTAACTTTTCCACATATTAAAACTCTTAAGAATTATATTATCAACACATAACCTCTCCTTTATCACAACTTGTTAAGTCCACGTAGGATTCTTACATTCTCCCACATGGACAAGAATTATATTATCAACACATAACCTCTCCCTTATCACAACTTGTTAAGTCCATGTAGGATTCTTACATTCTCCCACATGGATGCTAACTAGTTGTGGTTTTAAGGTTCCATGTCCTAATATAAACTCATCCTTATGTGATCACGTGTTGAGTTTTACGCAATTAATGTCGTATTCACATTTACCAGCAATCATTTGGGGATTGAACCTCAGAAAATAATACATGTGCTAGTACTGTATTCACCCTGAGATCACAGTCCTTAAACTCATGTCGTATAATGCAAGGGTATTCATCCATTTATACACATTTCTAATGACAATAAATAACTGGCATTTCTTTATTTCTCCCACATTTTGTGCAGTTTACCTCATTGATTGACTTCTGAGCCACTGTCTTCAATCACTAGACTTTTCCAGTTCCTGCATGATAAACACTCGGATAACACATTCTTTGGAATAATGATTATGCATTTATCTGATGTTAATCATTCTTCAAAATGAAAACACATTGTCAGCCATAAACTTGAAATGAACAAATGAAAATTAACTTGTACATGAAAGCCTTATTAACTCCCACACTTCTGTAGATTCAATGTTTTCGTGCAACCCCATGTTTGCAACATGATCTTTAAACACCCCCATAGCTAGTGGCTTTGTTAATGGGTTGACTATCATCAACTTTGTGTCTATGTGCTCAACACAAATTTCTCATTTCTTCACATGGTCTTTCACTGATAGATACTTGACGTCCATTGAACGAGTTGCTTCTAATTTCTTGTTGTTCTTCGAAAAGAACACATTTGCTTTGTTGTCACAGATTATGTTTAATGGCCTCGAAATGGTGTCAACCAATCTCATGAATGTGATGAGATTTTTCAACCACATCCATTTCTTCGTGGCTTCAAACAAGGCTATGAATTCAGCCTCCATTGTCGAGGTTGCGAGTGCCTTTTGGTTAACACTTTTCCACAACACTGCAACTCCTGTAAGAAGAAATACATTTCCACTCGTTGATTTTCTATTGTCAATGCTGCCAGCAAAGTCAGAATCTGCATATCCCACAAGCTCCAAGTTTTGCAACCTTTTGTAAACCAGCATATACGATCATCCTTTGCAAATACCTTAATGCCTTTTTAGCAGCTACCTAATGTTGTTCTCCCGAATTCGATTGATATCTGCCTAAAACACTTATGGCATAAGCAATATCAGGTCTTGTGCAAACTTGAGCATATACATCAAGCTTCCAAGTAAAAATGCATAGGTCTTGTTCGTCATGCTTTGTTTTTCCAGTTCGTTTCTTGGACAGTAGAGCCTTAGTTTTAACCAGCAAATTCTTTGAAAAGTGTTAAGCAAAACAAAAGAGGCATCTCCTTTGTCCTTCATTTCAAAATTCTTAGACAGTAAAGCCTTAGTTTCAACCAGCAAATTCAAACAATTGCTAGCTAGAAGGATGTCATCCACATATAGAATCAAAACTATGAATTTCGAGCCACATACCTTCAAGTATATACAGTCATCGATTTTGTTCTCATTGAATCTGAGAGTTGTCACTTTTTCATCGAACTTTAAGAACCATTGCCTCGATGCCTGTTTAAGTCCATAGATTGATTTGTTCAATCTACAAACCATTCTTTCTTCTCCTTCTTTTATGAAACTAAGTGGTTGTTCCATGAAAATTTCTTCATTCAAATCACCATTGAGAAAAGTCGTCTTCACGTCCATTTGGTGAAGTTTAAGATTGTAGTGTGCAACCAATGCCAGCATGATTCGAAGATTGTTTTTAGTTGACACTAGGGAAAAAGTTTCAGAGTAGTCAACCCCTTCCATTTAAGTGTAGCCCTTGGCCACAAGTTTGGCCTTGTGGCCAAGCGATTTTACCAGTTGAGTCTTTCTTCATTTTAAAAATCCATTTATACCTATCTAGTTTAACATTTTCTGGTGCTTAAACAACACTACATACCTTATTTGCTTCCATGGACTTCATTTCATATACCATTGCATCTTTCCACAATATTGCTTGCTCAAAGTTCATAGCTTGCTTGAAAGTCATTGGTTCCTCTATTACTTCCTCAGTAACATCAAACTCTTGGAGATACCCTAAATAATCATCAGGAATTGCAGATTTTCTGGTTCTTGGTGGTTGCAATCTCCTCATGATAGTGGTGATTGGGTCAGTTTGTTGGGTTGCATTCATCGATGATGACCCCACAACATTGGTTGAAGAGCTTGCTACGTTAGTTGAAGATTCCATCACTACATTTGGCTCAATCCTTTCAGGATCATGATCAAAATTGTAAGCTCGCAACTCGATGAGTGGTAGGGCATTAAATAAGGTTTCATGGCTATCATGCATGGTATTTGTTCTGTTGCCTTCATTGTCAAGTAATATATCATTTTCTTTCTCTGGCTGCACAATACCAGTTTCTTCAAACCATGATCCCTCGTTTTTATCAACAAGGTCTACTGCTTCTTCTCCATCTTCAATGAACTTGGCGCATCCTACTTCAAAAATTATATTCAACAGGTTGGCGAATAGAATCTATACCCTTTGGATTTGTCAGGAAAACCCACAAAGTTACACGAGACTGATCTAGGATCCAGCTTCTTCTCACTTGGATTGAACATCCTAGCCTCTGCAGGACATCCTTATACATGCAGATAATTAAGACTTTATTTAGGTCCCGTCCAAAGCTTACACGGAGTCTTAGTTACTACCTTTGATGGAACTCTATTCAAAACATGTTTCCCCATTTTTAAAGCTTCACCCCCATAGGAATATGGAAGGTTTAAGTGACTCATCATGCTCCTAACCATTTCCATAAGAGTCATGTTCCTTAATTCTATGACACCATTTTGGAGTGGTGTTCCAGGATTCGTGTACTGTGCCTGTATTCCATTTTGGAACATAACGCCAAGGGTCCCTTAGCCTGACCTGAGTATACCTACCATAATATTCTCCTTCTCTATCAGACCTTAACACTTTAATGGACAAATCCAATTGATTCTCAACTTCAGTTTTAAAGATTTTAAAACAATTTAGAACGGAAGATTTTTCGGAGATTAAATAAAGATAAGTATACCGTGAAAAATCATCAATAAAGGTTACAAAATAAACATTATCACAAAGAGTCCTTGTGGAAAAAGGTCCACAGACATCCGAATGGATGATTTCCAAAGGTTTCAGACTCCTCGTCGAATTCTTCTTCTTTGTATTGGTTAATTTTTCCTTAAAACAATTAACACAATTGACTAGGTCACCGAAATCCAAGTTTGGTAAAATCCCTTCTTTTATTAACCATTCCATTCTTGCCCTAGAAATGTGACCTAGCCTACAGTGCCAAAGCATGGAAGAATTCTCGTTCAAAATTAATCTTTTAGTTGGAATGTTGAAATCACATTTAGGCAATCCTTATCATTTGAAACTAAAGCAGATGCCATAAATCATGCATTAAGAAACAAATTCCAAGTATTTCACTTGGATTATTTTTCATAAAAATCCTTATACTTTCAATGTCGCCACTAAAAGCAAATCCGGATTTTACAAGTTGAGAAGCAGAAATTAAATTCCTTCTTAAAGAAGGTACATAGAGAACATCACTTAATTCTAAAATAAAACCACTTGAAAGCTTTAGCTTGAGGTTGCCTATTGCTTCCACTGCTACTTTGTTTCCATTGCCAACATATCTTCACTTCTTTTGGTTGTAGTTCCTCTTGTGAACCCCTGCAACGAATTGGTGATATGAATCGAACAACCAGTGTCAAACCACCAAGAATTTGGAGTGACTTCAACAAGATTAGTTTCAAAACAAACACAAATTTCAACAAAATTTGTACCTTTCTTATTTTTCCAAATCTTCCGTTTTTCACAATCTTTTTTCTTGTGCCCATACTTTTTGCAAAAATAGCACTTAACATTGTCCATGTAATCCATGTGTGTCATGGGGCCCCTAGAGGAGGATGGAATGACAGAATTGAAACTAAGGTATGGGTTAGGAACCTTGCCATGATTATAAGCCACTCTCTTACCCTTGTCAGCATGCACCATATTAACGGTGTGAAAGACTTCATCCCTTTTGATTCTTGCTTCAATAGAACTTTTACGGAATGTTTTTTGTATTACTTATTCTGAAATATATACATGTACAATCTACGTTCCATAAGGAAACAAAAGCTTTAATACAAACCTACTTAAAAAAGAACTCCTATTATTTACATTCCTTTTTTCCTAATATTGACTCATGATCAACACTCCCCCTCAAGTTGGTGCATAGATATCACACATGCCCAACTTGATAAGTGAGTCATCAAACTCTCGACTACATACTGCATGAGTTAGAACATCTGCAAGTTGCTCATCTGAACTCACAAACGGGATCGATACAATCTTCCTTTCAAGTTTCTCTTTAATAAAATGTCGATCAACTTCCACATGTTTTGTTCTATCATGCTGTACCGGATTATCAGCTATATCTCTCGCTGACTTATTATCACAGTATAGTCTCATGGTCTCCTTTGGCTTGAACCCAAGCCCCTCAAGAAGTTTTCGAAGCCAGAGAAGCTCACAAATGCCGTGAGCCATCCCTCGAAACTCGGCTTCAGCTGAGGATCTTGATACTACCTTCTGTTTTTTACTTCTCCATGTGACTAAATTGCCTCCTACAAAAGTAAAATATCCCGAAGTAGACCGTCTGTCACCTACACTTCCTGCCCAATCAGCATCCGTGAACCCCTCAATCCTTAAATGTCCATGCTTCCGATAGAGAACTCCTTTTCCAGGTGCAGACTTTAAATAAGCTAAGATACGCATAACAGCAGCCATATGATCTTCACTCGGTGAATGCATAAATTGACTTACTACACTTACTGCATAGGCAATATCTGGTCGTGTATGAGCCAAATAAATTAGTCTCCCTACAAGTCTTTGATATCTCCCCTTATCAACCGATTTCTGATTCGGATCCAAACATAGATGATGTTTTTCAACAATAGGAGTATCAACTGGCTTACATCCCAGCATACCAGTTTCTTTTAACAAATCCAAAACATACTTACGTTGTGACAAGAAAATACCTTTCGACGATCGAGCAACTTCGACTCCAAGAAAATACTTCAAATCCCCTAGGTTCTTCATTTCAAACTCAGCCGCAAGATTTCTCTGCAGCCTTGAAATCTCATCACAATCATCCCCAGTAATAATCATGTCATCTACATAGATGATTAAGGCCGTCACTTTTTTCTGTCTCCGTTTGACAAACAATGTATGATCAGAATGACTTTGGTAATACCCAATCTTTTTCATAACTTGAGTAAACCTATCAAACCATGCACGAGGCGATTGCTTAAGCCCATAAAGAGACTTACGCAACCGACATACTCCGGTACTTCTACCAGCACTGTACCCAGGAGGAAAATCCATATATACTTCTTCCTCCAAGTTCCCATGAAGAAAGGCATTTTTCACATCAAACTGTTTTAATGGCCAGTTCCTATTAGCAGCTAAAGATATCAGAACTCGTACCGTATTCATCTTGGCAACCGGAGAGAACGTTTCTTGATAATCTACACCATATGTTTGGGTGTATCCTTTAGCTACCAACCTTGCTTTGTACCTGTCGATTGATCCATTGGCTTTGTATTTGACAGTGAACACCCAACGACAGCCAACTGTTTTTTTTCCCTCTGGTAAAGACGTCACCTCCCAGGTATTATTCTTCTGTAGCGCTAACATTTCTTCATCCATTGCGTTTGCCCATTTTTGATCCTTTAGAGCCTCCTCCACACGGGTTGGTACTTGAGTAGCCTCCATATTGTCCACCAAAGTCTTGCGCTCTGGTGCAAGACCATTGCATGAGACATAGTTGGCTATTGGATACTTCACTTTGCCTTCCGGAGAAAACCTGTTAGGAGGCACACCCCGATTTTGTCTCGGTGGCAGCTTATATGTATTTACATCATTACTTGTATTAGTTACATAATCATCCACAATACTTACCTCAGGTATATCCAGAGAAGATTCATTGGGCAGCATTGTGGAGCTAGAGAGAGATGGGGGTACATTAGTAGGCTCGTCAACAACCTGTCCTGACTGCATGCTGCTC